GGACGGGCCTCCGCCGCCTTTGCACAGGTCGTCAACGTGCACGCAAACGCAAAATGCCTGGGACGGGTCCGACAAAAGCGCCCGCGCCGGGCCGAGCGACGTCGCCCGTCCCGAGCCGCGCCTGCGCTTTTGGGCATTTCCGTCTGGCCTTTGCCCGCGGGCGCTCTGACGCTCGGCGCGCCGGCCTTTCAGGTGAGCTCGTGGATGGAGGGGGAGGGCGAGCCGCGGCTCCGCCGTCTGGACCGCTCGGAGGACTCGCCGGAGGCGCTCCGCCGGAACTTTGAAGACTTCCGCTCCTCGGCACGCGTGCGTTGGACCTCTCGCCGGCACGCCCCGTCCCGAAAAGCCGCCCGTTGAACGCACGTGCGCCCGCGCAGGCTCGTTTGGAGGAAGGCGAGGCGGCGCTGCGGCGCCTGGAGCGCTGGCGCGACGCCGGGCCTTCGGATTTGCGCGCCCACTGGCTGCGAGTGGGCTCGCTGCGGGCTCAGCTGGAGGATTTCCGCCGGCGCATCGCCGCCGCCGAGCGCAACGTCCGCAAGCGTCTGGCGCTCGACCGCTTCCTGGATCACGTGAGCGCGTTCGCCGCACGGGGGCCGCTTGCCTGTGATGTTTGGAACTGAGTGCGAGTTCACGGAGTGTGTGTGTGTGCGTGTCTGCTTCAGTCACAAGGCACAAGACAAACTTTCTTGACTTGTTGCGTTTGGGCTCTGCTTCACGCGCACAAAAACACTTTGAGTGAAGTAAGTTGACACACCATCAGTGTGTTTATTGCGTAAGCGTGGGCGCAAACCCAATGTCGCGCACGTGCGCCGCGTGTGCGTGGCTGCATTTAACGTGCGCTTGCTATGCGCAGGCGTGCGGCCGGGCCGTCGAGAGCCGCCACCGTCTGGCCGCCGAGGGGGACGCGCCGGCAGAGGAGCGGCGCGCCGCCCTGGACGAGCACCGGCGACGGCATCCTCCCATCGCGGAGGCCGCCTTCCGGGAGATGACGTCGCTGGCCAACGAGCTGCGGGACGAGCGCGGCGCGCGGCGGCTGAGCTTCGCCCGCGCCGCGTTCGACGAGAAGATGGCCGACGCGCGCCCCCGCTCGAGCTCCGTCTCCGCCGAGACCCTGCCGGCCGCCGGCCGGA